AGCCTCGTGGCAATGGTAATAACGGCAAAAGGATGGATGAAATCGAAGGTAAGGAATTGGTAGAAGAGAAGCCGCAAGTGCTTCTATGGCGGCGCGTTTCCGCAATCCTAACTTTTAGAAAGAAGGGTGTCCGGGGACTTTCTCCCAAAGCATAAGAGTAGATTGAAACATCGATGAGGATGTTTCTGTTTGTGTGCTTCGAATGCGATTCTTTGAGCGAGAAGTTGTAGAAGGAAAGGAAGAAGGAGAGAATTCCCAATTGAAAATTCAAATTTTGTAGTGGATGGGAAATTTTGTGCGGCCGCTAGTGTGCAGCTAGCTAACATCATTAGCGCGGATTTTCAACATGAGCTTTCGATGCCTGGAGAAGCCGTCTTTTTTAATTACGTGCACGCAAAACAGGTGAAATTGAAATTGTTCGACGACCAACGCCAACGAACGCGAACCGACGCGAAAAAGCTTTCTTTCTCGAGACGGCGCATACTATTGAGACGATTTTACAGATACTTATAAGCAAACATGGCCGGATTATTTGGTTCTGCGGCTACCACAACCTCGACGAGCGCGGCCAATACTCTCGGTGATCTTTCGAAAGATATCCCTCTCAATAATCCTCCCGAAGATAGTATTTCCGATCTTGCCTTTTCGCCGGTTTCTGAACATTTAGCGGTCGCATCATGGGATAAGAAAGTGAGGATCTATGAGATCTTGTCGAGCGGACAGAGTGAAGGCAGGGCATTATTTGATTTCGAAGGGCCGGTCTTTAGTTGTCACTGGTCAAAGGTATGTATACGTTTTAGCTGAAGCTTATGAGAAAGTACACTGATAAAGCCGAACAGGATGGAAAGAAAGTTGTTGGAGCCGGAGCAGACAAAACTGCGCGTGTTATGGATCTTGAAAGCAATCAAACAGTATCGCAAGTCGCCGCGCATGATCAACCTATAAAATCCGCGAGATTCTTCACTGCGCCTCAAACAAACGGCGAGATGCTTGTGACCGGATCTTGGGATAACACCATTAAGTATTGGGATTTGAGAACTCCTAATCCGGTCATTTCGGTGAACATGAACCACAAAGTCTATACCTTAGATGTGCAGAAGAATGTTTTGGTTGTTGGAACTGCAGACCGATTTATCAATATTATCGATTTGAACATGCCAGATAAGATTAAGAAGACCATTCAAAGTCCATTGAAATGGCAAACTAGAGTCATTAGCTTATTTCCGGATGCTTCTGGTTTCGCCGTTGGCAGTATTGAAGGAAGATGTGCCATTCAATATGTTGAAGACAAGGACGCCAGGTATGCAATCTTTCCCCCGAACGCATCTCTCAAGACCCCTCACTAATCTATCAAAGCATGAACTTCTCTTTCAAATGTCACCGCGACCCACCCTCAAACAACATGACCAACGTCTACTCCGTAAACGCGATATCCTTCCACCCCATTCACGGCACCTTCAGCACTGCTGGGTCCGACGGCACGTTCCATTTCTGGGACGGAATCGCCAAGCATAGATTGAAGGGCTACCCAACCGTCGGGGGAACCATCTCAGCTACAGCCTTCAACCACACCGGAAACATTTTTGCCTATGCCGTTAGCTACGATTGGAGTAAGGGTTACGCAAGCAACACACCACAATACCCAAATAAGATTATGTTACATCCAGTAAACGCGGATGAGTGCAAGCCTAGACCAAGTGTCAAGAAGAGGTAGATGGAGATGAGATTCGATTACACTATGAGAATTTCGTGATGGAAGATTGGCGAATCATAAATAAAGATATATGGGCGAGAGTTCCAAGGCCTGAAGGCATCTTTGATCCTATAAGATGGCAAATGAATTGAATTGAGTTGGAGGAGGCATAGATGTAGTCCTAGACCGAGCGTTTCAAACCCAGGACCTAATCGAGCAAGGGGAGAGAGAGCTGGATGGCACAGTTATACAAGAAGATGAAGTTATCACAGAGGAGTTTAAGGCGGTCACATGGCGATCAATAGGATTCCAAAATTAGGTCATATAGGTAGTAATGATATGAAGCGTGTTCAAAGTCAACCATATAACATATCTCACACTTATGCACTCCTCCCAAAATTCAACACACTGATACGATACGATACACGAGTGTGATAGAACCGAATGTCATACAATGCATCAATGCTTTCATTTCCATTTCCATTAGAACTCCCCCAGTTCCCACAATGCAGACCAATCGAACCAAGTCTAGAATAGTGATAGTAACATACCCAGCGCGTCGATTGCCCAAATCCCAAAAGGCGCCCATACATATGCTCATACGGATAAAAGAAAATTCTGTCTTGCTCATCCTCCAACTCGTCATACGTGCAAGAGACTATGAGTAATTCTTTTCTTTGCCCTTGCCATTTCCATTCCTCCTTGTGGTGCCTTCATCATCACTTGCACTTCCAACGCTATATCTATCTCTATCCATATCGTCTGTAGGTGACTTTACGTGTAGTTCATCCAATTCACTTTCATCGAAATCCGCTGCCTCCACATCCCTCGCCGTGCGTTTGTTGCGGAAATTCTCAAGACCTGCTGCGCCTCTAGGGCCACTTCTCGCGCCCGCCAAAGCCATAGGAGTGTCACCTCCGAAAATTCCAGCGTAGCCAGCGCGCTGGCGTCGTTCACGCCAGATGTAATAGCCCCATGCTGAGGCAGCGATAATGACGATAACTAGGACAATCTCACCGGATTTGTAGTAGGCGTTCCATTTCGCGGCTTCCAAACGCTCTTCTTCGGCTTGGGTAGCAGCAGTACTATTAGGATGACCGCCAACAGATGTCTCCAGACCCTTCTCGCCGTCGATACGACTATCAGTTGGAGCGCCACCAATGCTAGCAATATCCACTTGCATAAATCTGTCAAGCATATCTCGGGTACGTCGTGCATAATCGAAGGGTACCATGTGAGACGAATTGTAGAAGAGGACGTAAGTCAAATTGCGTGCCTCTTGCCAGAAACCGGCTGCCTCGCCTTCAAACTCCCAATCGCGACGTGGCGCCCATGTTCCGGATCCAAGTTCAAATCCTTTGCCACCGTTCCACTCCATATTGCTGATCATTTCTTCAGTGCCTATGTGGTTGCAAATCAAATCCTCAGCACCAGAAAATAGTATGGTAGGGACTTCTTTGAGAAGGTCTGGTAAAATCTGGATGGAAGGTTTTGAATGTGTAGCTCTGAAAGCGCTGCCAACAGCACCGTTGCACTCAGTCCATCCAGTTCTCTTTTCAGGTGAAATATGGAGAGCTGCAACCACGTCCGTTCGGCGGAGGTAAGGTGTAACATTGACCAAATCGGGAGGCCAGTTCATACCACAACTTGGGTAGGAGTCCTTCAACCTAACATCATACATGTTGTAGCATTGCATATTGCCATCCGAGCCCTTGGTTTGAGTGGTCGACAAGATCTCTTGTAAGATCTGTTCGCACTGGCCATTATCGACCCTGTCTCTTCCGCCGTTCTCATTCAATAACTTGGTGCAAATGGCTTGTTGGGACTCCAATTTCTTTGCCTTTTCACTATCCTTCTTGACTAGCCCCTTCTCATATGCGAATGGAAGATAGGCCATGTATTGTTCAAAGGGTGAAATCCATCCATTACCAATTAGCATTCCCTTCATTTGCCACGGATGTTTTGTATCAGGGTTCTTGTTTCGTTCCAGGATAGCTTTTGTAATGTAGGGAATGTGTTGTCCTGCATAAGATTCTCCCGCAATGTATAACTTTGAAGTAGTTAGTGATCCGTATAGTAAAAATTGCACAGTATTACTCACATCATCATGCTCATACTCAGGGAATAGCGCAAACCACTTCTCCAAGAATTGAACGAATTGATCTGCCATCTCGGGCAAATCATGAACGTAGCTGTCCGAGTCCACGAAACTAAATCCTGTCCCTACTGGATTATCTACGAACATAACATTCGCAAATTCATCCCAAGAACCTGGATTGTATTCGAGTTTTGGTCCATTGGATCCATCCTTTACTCTATAAGGACCAATTTCCATCAAAGCTCCATCTTCAGAACTGCAACCTGGACCTCCGTTCAGCCAAATTACGGTGCGCTGTTTGTTCGCAATATGTCTATTCTGGAAATGCCAAAAGAATATGTTTCCATGATGGTCAGGGGTGACTTCGATGTGTCTGCAAGCCTCGTGTTAGCTTTATCTCTGATATGGAGAATGTAACTTACCCAGCATGCATCTTGAGTAAGGGTCCAGGCGGAGCGCCCGGCAGCGAATGGACAAAATAATCCCCAGCAGTTTTATCTGCTTGGCCCAGCGAGGGCATCAATGATATGGATAACAATCCCCATACTGTCAACAAGGCCGAACTGGTCCTGGAAGTGAGAGACCGCATTGTCAATATTCAGCCCTTGATGTTCGTTCCAATTCGTAACAGACAACCCAGAAAAGGGTATCTCAAAAGGGTATTTATAGGAGTCGCGTAGTCGCGAATTACCAATATCCTATCATCCGCCGATGATATTGAGATGAGAAAGATAAATTTTTAAAGTGTCAGAATGTGGACACAGTTGATATTGATCTGCTTTTGGGGGATTCGCGGCTTTGTTGTTACTTAATACTGATACAGGAATGATTGTTAGGGACACTCTATATCGCTAGATTTCTTCACCCGCTATTGGACCCTAGCGATGTGAAACACTGTGACAGGTTCGGAATGCTCAAGAATAGATTATGAGTGGAGATGATTACGAAATCTATGCGTATCTTGAGGAAATCTGAACTTGCATTTATCATATTAAGAGCTCTAGGTACAGCTATTGTGAAGCAATGTACTTGTTAAAGTCCAGTATGGATTTTCCGAAAGTTTTCGGTCGTCGCCGACTTTACAAAGAAAATCCTTCAACTATTCACTTATTGTGACCCGTTCTCGGACTCCCCTTGCTCGAATTCATTGTCTTTGAGAAGATCCACCTATGAATAAGAGTGTTTCGCATATTGATGTACTATGGTCCCCTAGGCTGCTGCGACATGACCTGGACCTTCAGAAGCTAAAAAACAAGTGTAGGTATTAGAAGCTAATTTTGGTCTAGAAAAACCCTCTGAAGCCCAACATTCCCTATACTTTGGTAGAGGGGTAAACTTAATTGCTAATTGTGGTCCAAAGATGCTAATGCCTGTATTTCTATCATTTCTTATGATTATTTACACCCCTATGTTCAGTCTCTTGGCGAAACATATTCGCCTGCTCAATGTTTCCAAAGCTCAAGTGAGCCATGTTCTAGAACTGCAGAACGACATTTGATGGGTATGATCTCATATTAGCCTTTGGACTTCTGATTTTTACTTGGAGCTATGGAAATAATGCGGTGGCATATCATAACACTTTGCTACCCTGTGCTAATGTTGTTTGTACCTAGATATCTGACGGAATTTACATTATATCATCTCCTAAAACATGTCACCAAATCCCTTTTCCGTGTCTTTCTTAATAAGTTCAACCATTCCCTATATACTTGATTAATTCGGCACGTAGGTAAGTTATGTCAAGAATTGTGAGCTTACCTCTGGCATGATGGGGTTTCCCTCGGCGTCCTTCACGTAACGAAAAGGCATCTCTGTACTTTCATTCTTGTTGACCCGAAGTTCTGGGTAGTCAACGTAAGGGATCTTGTCCAACGGAACTACAAATAAGTCAGCATATAGCTTCGAGTGATCGGGGCCAGGCCGAATCAGCTGACTGACTTTTATCCTGAGTAACCATTCTTGTACAACGAACTGCAGTATCAGTTGTCAATTGGATGGGGCCAAGCCGACGGCCTTCGAAGCCTTTCTTTCGCAGTTCAGAAGTTCGATCTCTAGGTGGATCATCTCCTAGAGCACAGCATATTAGCAACTACTATATGTAGATAAGGCAGATGCGGTGTACCAACCTAAGATTCCGCCAAAAAGGAAAACGTCAAACAGGTCGCCATCTTCTGGACTTAACTCCTTAGTGGCTGCTGGATCAAGCAAGCACACACGAGACTTGTTTTCGACATATAAGGTTTCGACACTGCGGCCATCTGCAGTGAAACCCGGCACGGCCTTTAAGACCTCGGGTATGGCCAAGGTGGGAGGAATTGACGACAAGCAAAATTTTGCACCCGCCTGATTGGACTCTTTGGCTATGGTGATATATTCAAGCTCAGACCATGGTCCAAGTTCGTCATCGAGGTGCTCGACGATGTAGGTTTTTGGGGTCATCTTTAGATAGATATCTTAGCTGGATACTGATGTAGATTTCAAGCTTGATTAACAGGAGAGACCAATAGGAAATTGTGCAAGGGTTGAAAGCAGAGCAGTGAATCGGAAATAATCCCCAGTAGATGATGGCTCAGGTGAAATAAGTTCTGGTTCGTTGCGGGGTAAAGAGTCCCAAGGGATGGCTAAATGATCGATGATCGTATATGGTTATTGGACTCTGACTCGTGGTAACAGGAGACTACCCCTTGTGCGAGGAGCTTTTTTTCAAACTTTGGAAAAAAGATAAAAGATGCAAAGATGTGCGGGGATCTGAATGAAATTGATCTCGTGATTGTCTGTTGAGAACTTTGAAAGCCAATCGAATTAACCTTTTCCTTGAGTCCTCAGGTTGATCTTTGCGTATCTGCTCCGTAAATGTACGGCAGTAGAAAGAGGATGTATGCGTGGCTTACAAGGGGCAAAGGGGAGAAAGAATCCAAGGTTAGAAAGATGTATCTCCCTTGGTAGTTCTGTGCCAGTTTGATAAGGGGGATACAGAAAGGTAACCACTCAGCGGAGAGAGAGAGAGATATGTACATGTATATATTTATACGTACATTGATTAGAATGATGTAGTATACCTTGATACCCTCGATAGCTTCTTTTCCTAATTCACTTCCCGAAGTCCTCTTCTTCCTCTTCTTTCCTCTGTATCTTGATCTTGATCTTGTTCAGCTGTTCAATCCGATTTTTTTCTCACTCAAGCAAAAAGGTCTGGATTTCGAAATTCTGCAATTGAGCCAAGCCAAGCGAGCGAAAAAGTGTACCCCACCATACCCATACCTTTAACACGCCCATTAATGCTATCGGTCATTCTGAGCTGTTCATAATACCCTTTTCCCCTCCAAGGAATATTCTCTTGTGCAACTCAATTCCAAACAAAAATCATAAGATCTTTATATTTCTCACTCCAAATCGTTACTCAAATATCTTGAAGTACAATCATTCAAACCTGTCTCTCTTTCTATTCGATTCACCACTTCCTCTTGAATCCACTCATTAACCGCAAGTCTACACCCAATCGCTCGCACTACGGTTGTACCTCCTGTGGTTATTTAAAGAGTACAGTAGTAGTATATCTTTCGAACGACAAAGAAGAAAGAGAGGTAAACAACCATTTGATTACAAAATAATCTCGACTTCGGATACGGATATAGAAACCTGTACGATCTAATTCTTGAAAATCTACTAAATCTATTAAATCCATCCAAATTCTCCCAATCCAAATTCAAAAGAAACTCACCCGAATTTCATTTCATCTCCAAGATGAACCCTTTGCAAAAGAACAAGATCGATATTGCAGTAAGTAGTAACCATTCAAATTCCCTCTTCACTCAACTCGAATTCATCATGCCATTCGATTTATTGACTCTCCGACCCCGCAGTCCCTCTCCCCGGATGAGCAACGACTCTTCCGCCTCTATGGCAAACTCCCCAGCAAAGCCGATCATTTAGCCAAACAACTCAAGGAGCGTAAATATTTCGATTCTGGCGACTATGCACTCTCCAAGGCCGGCAAGGCCTCTTCCGTCGACACTGGTAGCGTCGGATCTGAACATCCTCTCCCAGAAAACATCCCCCATCTCTCCTCTCCCAGCGTCGGCAATGCCGCACAAGGTGGTTCTGGCAATACAAATGTAGGACCTGGCTCTGCACATCATGGTAGCATTGCGGGATTGGGATTGGGTCAGCAGAGTGGAAGTCCAGTGAAAGAAAGCAGCTATTTACATCGCGAGACAAGCATTGATGAGGCAGATAAGAAGAATGATGGAAGCACACAGCAAGTAGGAGATGGCAGTGTGAGTCCACCAGTTGTCAAGGGAGGTATTCCAATCAATGGTTAAGGGTATTTTTGTGGGAGAATTTACTACGTGTGCGTGCGCGCGGGATTCGGCGTTTTGGGCTATTCAATGATATGATGATGATCTTGATGGTTTAAGGGGATGGAGCATTCTCTGTACATTTTCGTTTTTTATGCCAGGTATGATAGTCGAGCTATATGCCAATACGAAACGATGGATTTAAAGACTGTCAACACATGAAGTCATTTTCTTTGAGATTCCGATGTGTATGAACTCATTGTCTGGGTTCTATATTTCTTGAACCTATCTAACCTTTTGGCTTTTGATACCGAACAACGCCTCATAATAATGTTTTTCATGACTTTCGTGAATATCACAAATCAACAGCTGTTGCTGCCATCTCACTTGCTCCATCGAAAGTCTTGTTTCCTCCAATGAATCCCGCTGCATGAACGAAAACTCCTCCTGGGATACCAGTAATTTGAGATAATTCCTCGTCTCTGAAACCTCTCCATGCCTCAGGCAATGGCTTTCTGCTTTGGAAAGAGTCTTTGGTGACAGGTACACATTGGATTCTCCATTTCGCATCTGGTCGTGGGCTCTCAGGGTAGAGAACGTAGAGTACTTTATTCTCGCTGTTCTCTTGATCTTCGAGTGTGTAGAGATGATCCTTCCATGGAACTGATTGGCCATCAAATACTAATATTCTTCCCTTCGAATCGTATTGTAGGCGTTTGGCGTATGCTTGTTGGACAATCGATCGTGCTGGCAACCATGATTTTGTGTAATAATCCAAATCTCTTGAGAATTCTTCACCCATTCTAGTGCTGGCTACCAAAAATTTCTCATCTTCTGCCTTTTGAGCCTCGACGGGATCAGATGGGGTGGGGTCATTCCAGTTTGGGTTCAATCTGGATACCATAGCACCCAATGAGAATCCTCCATCACTGAACTTCTTCTCCAGGCCCGCGGCGGAAATAGCCTTTGGGTCGTAGACTGAAATACCGTTATCGTGAGCATCAAGTGCTTCAATAAAGCTTTCGTAAATCTTTCTCCAGATAACAGCAACTTCTTCCGCATCTTCGGCGACACCTAAATGTTGTGCAATAATCGCCTTGCCATAGTGCATATACACTAACCCCGCAGAGGAGAGCTTGGTAGGACGATTTGGGAATGTAGTATCGAAAGTACGTTGATGATGATCATATCTCTTGGTCTCGTCGTTATATTCACCTCCCACGTCAACAACGGTATGGCAAGTCTCTAAAAGTTTAGGGTCCCGAGTTCGAATAAGCTCTGAAGATTGATAAGTTGGGAGAAGGCGAAGCATATAAACAGCTAAGGCTTCATCTGCGTGAAAATGGCCATTGTGAGTACCGATGGTAACGGGCGAGGTCTTGAGTCTTTTTGCTGCTGTTTCGGCCATTTTGATTGTATTTCTAAACATACAAAATCGATAGCTAGTAACAAAATGATGATTTATGTTTGTGATTGGAAAAGTCAATAGAAGGAGGGGTCAAATTTTGGGTCCAAGTTTCTCCAAGCATTGAACTCCTCCAAAATGTCCAAACTAATCTAGAAAGATGATGATAAAAGCGGTAACAGCTGGCAAATCCCCACTTAAACATTAGCTTTTTCACACGTGCGTTGTCATCCCATCCTCTCATAATTTACCCACGATCTTCATTTCCCAAAATTTACCTTGCTGGTACAAATATTCCCAAATGAACTGGAATATCTGTCATTATTTCTCTACCAAAATCTAATCGTTCATCTTCTGTGACAAGGACTCGCCCGTCAAATTCTACAAAAAGCACCTCTTGCTATCATATTTCCAACTTGTCAAGTTGCCAAATTTCCTGCAGGATTCTATCTAGAAAACCAGGCACAATCCGACCAAATTCTGTTATCGGAGGATCCCCGTCATTGTACGCACGCGACAAGAACAATCATTGGATTAAGATCCAAGTAGAGCTACCAATCAAGGCGACCATCGTCTCCCTTTCTATCAAAGTCCATTTCCCTGGGAAATTGTCTATAATTTAATCATCTTCATTGCCGACCCCGTTCTCCTTCGGTACTGCCGTTTACTGTAGAACTCACACACGCATAAATAAACATATCATTCTGCGACAAGCAACCACAGCTTAGAAGGAAATCTGGGAAGGGGATTTTACATATTGGTCATAAGACGTCATCAGAGTGACCTTGGACTTTTTAGCTTCAGTGCATTTCTCGGATCGTTGATTTCATTGTTTGGCAGAAGCTAGGATATCGAAAATCTCATACATTCAAACGGGCGTGTTCAACGCGACCTTTAGAGCCTACGAGGGCAAAGATCTTTCGAAACTTCTATTATCTTTAAAGCTGGGCGCGCTGTCAAGCACGCGCCGGCGTTGTTCTCGCCGATGTGGTTATTCCGAGCTCTTTCCTCTGCGACCTTCCTCTTGTCGATAATCCTCTCCATACCTATAGCCTTCGATGTTGGAGGTCGAGAATGCGGCCTGGCATTCTCCCTCGCCCTTTTCGAGTTCTACTTATTCTATTCGACGTTAAAATTAACGACGCCTGATAATTCGAGGATACGATGGGCATTAATACAACTTATTGGGTGGGCGCAGTGGATAATACTGCCAGGGTTGTTAATCTGGAGCATGAATCGATTTGCAGTAGACGCAGATAGTGATGGGGGCTGGGTTACTAGGACCTTTGATGGCAAGCGTGCGAAAGATAAGGAATTAAAAGAATGGGTTTTTGGCTATGGAGGTCTTCTTGAAATGTTGACAGTTGGAACATGGGATAAAGTTTTACGATATTCAACACCGTTGTAAGTAGATGACTACTCTTTGCGTAGTGGTTTCCTCGACTCCAAGGAAACTATCTTGCCGGTTGAAGAGCCACTCTATACCAAAGGATCACTGTATATTCTTTTTACAGAACTAATCATATGGCAGGTTTCAAATGGCAGAAGGATTTTGCTCCCTTTTGGTCATCCAAGCAGCGGGTCAAATCACAAGATACCTTGTAAATCGCAGAAGTGATTCATGGATGGTATGTTTCGAATCCTCAGTTGAGTATTTAAGCTTACCAAAACGTTTAGATTGGGCTACTTGTGCTATCAGCCTCAATTATTTCAAGTGCTGTTTATTTCTTACTCCGTATCACGGGGTTTCCGCAGATCAGCAACGTCGATGCTACACTTATAGGCATCACTATGACTTGCGCAGTCTTTTTGTGTGCATGGGGTATCGGAAGTGGTAGAGGTAACCCAGTGGAGAGCTCCCTACTTTTCGCTTACTGCACACTTTGCATATATCAAATATTCACCGACTACCTTCCATCGGCAACGGATGAGATTCCCCAAGCACCCGTTCAACCCGATTTCCCACCATTCCCTCCTATCATCATGGCTTCTTACTCAACTCTTTTGAGTGTTTTATCAACAATGCCATCTTTCGTCCATTCAAGCTTTTACTTTCTATACGCAGCCTTCCAGACAATCACTCCCTCGATCATTATATCGCTTGCATTCCGGGTTTTTGTATTCTATGCAGCCACCCGGATTATACCAGCGATACGCGAGTCTGGAGTTGGAGCACTGTCTCAGGATTTAGGTCTTGACGAGAGCGAAGGAGAGGGTAAAATCTTAGGACTACTAAGCTGGTTTAGTCCCTCAATATTGATTGCTGTTTACACTAGCTTATTGATGCAACATTTCTCTTCTGTCACTTCTGAGGGAAATATGGGCGAATGGTGGATGATGCAAGGTGGTAACACCGGTGGTAATATATGGCGTTGGATTAATGTTTCAGCAACGATGGCTCTTTATGCCCTGGAGCTATACTTGGCAAAGGAAGATATGGATGGATCTCTCACTGGGCATTGGAAGATAGATTGAGGAATGATTGAAGAAGGCAATGAGATTCCATATTTCATGTGTCGGGGCTGGATACCTCGTTCATTTATAAGACGACGCGATGGCGTGAAGGCCAACAGCAAGATGTAAAAGACATCTCAAAATGGCAGAGACGACAAAAGACTAATCCCCGGGTCTATCGAGGAATGACTCGAAACAAGCGTCTGGATGTGGAGAGGGGAATATAATTGTGATGCGAATTTAGCATAGCGTGGCGTTTACAGTGGGCAGATCTACTATTGTGGGGCAGTTAAATATAAAGTGAAGTGAGTGGAAGCTTATGCAAGAAGCTTTGGGTGGTGTCACTGATGCATTGGGAGTCAGGACCTGGAGTGGGAGCGGGAGCGGGAGCGAGAGCATAACTTATTACTTAGGGATACCCTTTTCAACGCAAAAAGAGATCTTATCAACCATGTTCGTTTTACGGATAAGAAGAATAATAACAATAACCAAAAGGCTTTAGAATCTTGTTTTCTATGCCTTTGATCTTTTTGAGGGGGTTTAAATGTTGTTTTTGAATGTTGCGTTTGAATGTTCTTATTGTTTTTTTTTTGTTTTTCTTCCCCGCCATGATATTCATTGATTTGATATTGACATGTTCCAGAAGCGTTTAAAGAAGTCTGTCTTTCCTGTCTGATATGGCCCACTTGATTAATTGAGATCGCTATGTAGGTGATATTGCATGTTGATCACATGTCCAAGATACGTATGTATCAATATGAATATCAATATCAATATCAATACCAAGGACAAGAACAGACCAAGAATCGAACCGAGAATCGAACAGAAGTAAAAGTAAAAGGAGAAAGGAAGATGCCAAGATGCTAGGATGCTGAGGGAAATTTATGGGTTTTGGTGAAGGTGACGGTGTTGGTGTTGGTGGAGGTGGAGGTTGGTAGGGAAGGTTAGTGTGTGATGATGGGTTGGAGTGAGTGAATGAATGAATGAATGAGTGAATGAGTGAAATGGATAATTGAGTTTTTGGAAATTTGATTATTTGATCATTTGACTATATTTGGATTTTGGAGTGAGTGGGTTTGAGATTTGAGATTTGAGATTTGAGATGGATGTGCTTGTTGATGGTTGTGCTGAGATAAGGGATAGGCGTTGGTTGTCTGTGTGTGTGTAATGGGTGGATGGATGGGTATTGGGTTCGAAGTTCATGCGGGTGTGGAGGGGATAGGGAGGGGAGGGGATGGGTTTTGTTATGTGGTATGTGTATAGAGAGTATGCGGAGAAGAGAGGGGAGAGGGGAGAGGGAGGGAAGAGAGGATTAGGGGGAGGATGGGCGTGGATCGGGGTTGGATGAGGATTAGATGAGGAGTAGGGTTATTTGGTTAGTTAGATACTTGGGTAGTTAGCGTGTGGAGTGGGATAGAGTCTTGGGTCTTGGATACCTTGTCACTGAATTGTTTGTAAATTTGTAAATTTAAGTCTTGAGTAGTTGAGGTTGAGGGGGGTTAGTGGGTTTTGTTGGCTTGGGTTGGGTTGTATATTGTGAGGCTGGTGTGTGAGTTTGAGTTTTGGGTTTGGGTTTTGAGTTTGAGTTTGAGTTTGAGTTTGAGTTTCGGGAGTGGTGAATGGAAGTTTTGGAGGAGGTTATTGGGTTATTGGGCTTTTGGGTTGGCTGTGTTGGTTGGTATGGTTGGTATTAGATGGATAGATGGATAGATGGATGGATAGGATAAGGCTGGTGAGAAAGTATAAGTTAGGTAGCTTGGTGGTTGGAAGTTGGAAGGTGGAGGGGCAATAAGGACGGGGCTTAAGCTTGGTAGCTTGGGGGCTTGAGGGAGGAGAGAGTTTATGGATGTATGTATGGTACTTACTGTGCAGTGTTGTGTTGTGTTGCATTGTGTGTAACTCGGGGCCAATAAATGTGTGATGTGCGAATAAAGTACCGGTATCTAGGTTCTGCTGAAATCTACAGAGTAATGCTATTACCTATTAGGTACAGTATAGTATAGTTCTACACGGTGACAAGCTTTATGTCGTTTCCTTTTTCTTTCTTTCTTTCTTTCTTTCTTTCTTTCTTTCTTTCTTTCTTTCTTTCTTTTTTGTTTGATACGTGGTACATACGTATTTTGACTGACTCCAAAACGGTACGTACATACCTACATACAGCACTCCAAAAAACAACAAGCACCAAGGAAGCACACTTTCAAGTTCTAACCACAGCTCTCCTTCCCGGGACCAAAGGATTACATTTCCCCGGACTTCGGAATTCCAGACCACCAATCTAAACCCCCTATCTCTACAATTGGATTTCCAATCATGTCGACTCACAAGTCACCATGGATCAACAAGATGTACATACACCATGATCTACGCCGTTTCTCCCCCTGCCCCCTTTTTGCTGATCGTTGATGTGTACACTGTGTGAGTACGAAGAAGGCGGTGATGGATGTAATGGATGGGATCGCATAGCATAGCGCGCAAGGTAGACGAATCTCCTGTTCTCAACAAAATTCCTCAATGGATCATCAATTTATAAATAAATACCTAGGTTGAAGGTAAATGTGGTTTGGTGTCCACGGTGTCTTAGAAGCGGTATAGAGATGCTAATGATTTCTATCCACTTTTTTATTGGGTGATCTTGCTCCACTGATTCTTACTGTTTTGAGGGATGGCTTGATGTTTATACTGGGGCTAGCCATGTCACTTTGGTGGACACGGACGGTGGGTAGGTTATTGAGGGACGGGTGTGGAAGGTTTGGAAGGTTGGAAGGTTAGATGTTTGGATTGAAATGTCTTGGAATTTTGAGAAACCTTGAGGAGGGAAGCTCGAGGGTTAGTTGGGTGGTGAGTAGTTGGCTTCCTGGAGCTCATCCTTGTGTGGAAGAACGGATGGTTGAAACTTGCGACTTGCGACTTGCAACTTGCGACCTGCACTCGATAACTCTGTTACCATCGGGGAAACAATGGGATGTAACCCTCTTGTGCTTCGCCTTGCGAAGTTGATATGTGTTGACTGGGGTTAGGGGGTATATCGAATCAAATATACTTCCATAGTGTGTAGTCTGTATGCAGTGCGTGTGTAGCGCGAATGTAGTCTGTATGTAGTCTGTATGTAGTCTGTATGTAGTCAGGACATAGTCTTGCACATCAATTAAAGTTTGGATAATGGTAATGGCTAAATGAGAATCCACGTGTGACTGAGATTTGAATTTGATTCAGCTTATCGTAGATTCATTCGTATTGCAACTGATGTCGTACCGGTACCGGGCTCCGAACCTTGAATGGGGGAAGGGAAGGGGAAGGGGAAGTGGAAGGTGGGTTTGATAGCTAAAGCTCAACAGTTTTGATATGATATGATTTTGATTATGATATCCATGATAGGAACTATTCGTCTCAAGTACCGCCGTGGAATGAAAGCTGTCGGTATGTAAGGTTAAAATGTATGGACCATGGAAAAGTATAAAGGACAGAGACGGTGTCGGTATCTCAGGCCTCTTTTTCTCTTCCTCTTCTTACTCTCACTCTCACTCTCACTCTTACTCTTACTCAATCCATCTTTCTCAATTGCAATCTGATATCTTGGCTTTATATTGTCTATCCACCTACTCGCTTCCTCTGGTATTCATTCTCGAGTCATTGTACTCCCTCTCTCGTATTCCAATCCTATAAGCATCTGCATCTTCATCTGCATCTTTCACCCAAATTCTCCAATTGGTTATACCTACCTACCTACAAACCAATCCACGTTCCAGCGAACAAAAGCACTGGAGATTCCTTGTGTAACCACACTTTGATCATCTTATCTGCCGATACTCCGCATTTGTCTATCAACATACATACGACGGGACTTTCAGCTCTTTTACATCTTCACTCCGACTTGCCAAAACGTCAGTTCATCACATTATAATCGTCAATCTATCTTATCTCATCTCACCTCACCTCATCTCATCAATATGTCTCGAGTTACTCCTCCCGTTACAAAATTCACACTTGTGTTGAAGAAATGTATGAGTACTACTTCGACTGTTGCAAGTCCTAGTGCACAATTGAAAACTAAGAGTGCTATCAAATCCGATGTATATATATCCATTTCCTCCCCACTTCATCCTCAATAAAGTAAAATGAAAATGAAAATGAAAACCCCAAAACTAACCATTCACCTCATCAAATAGCTCATCTCCAATCTCTCCCACGAACGCACAATCACCACTACCCATCGACCATCTCCCCCCTCTATCAAAACCATCCGTCTCATGCAAGGATTCCGCACCAGCGCCGCTCGTCCCGTCGCTTCCCCTTCCACTCTCGATTATCTCGTTCTTCCTCGTCTCCCCGTTGAAGAGCCTCTCAATGCATTTACGGTCCGAGTCCCCATCCTCCCTGATAACTACTACGCCTCTCAATCGGTCAAGGAATCAATCGATACTGCGATTCCCAAACAGGAAGTCCATATCGTGAGTGCGCAGCCGGAAGAGGTAGTTGCACAGGTTAATGTTCTTACGGAGATGGTTGGCAACGAGGCGGAGAGCGCAGTGGATTTGGGACAGTGGGTTGAGGGGGTTAGAAAGAGAGGAGAGGAGATGAGAGAGAGATTTGTAGGAAGAGATAGTGAGCAGAGTGTTTTGAAGGAGCTGTGGGTGAGTCTTCGTGAGGATGTGTGGGGTGAGAAGAAAGTCGCCGTTTAGGTGTTTTGATATGTGAGAAGTAAGGGAATTTTGATTTGATGGAGCGATTGATTGATAGATGGGTATAGATGGAAGGGGGGACTCGCTCGCTACGCTTAGCTAGAGCTAGAGATCCTTGATGACGTTATGATTTTTCTTTTCTTTCCTGCTACCGAGATACTTAGGTAGTTCGTGGCTTGATTTGGTTTGGGGGTGTCTGTCTTTTACTTTCTTGCTTTGCTTTGCTTTGCTTTGCTTTGAGTTTTCTTTGTCTTTTGCTTTTGCTGAAGGTGAAGAATGGGGGGGTTTGAAGGATCTCGTGGTTGGGGATTCGATGTTACTTAGTTTTATTAATTGAATGTC